TAGTAGAGCAATCTGTTGTAGATCTCCTATATGAATTGCACTAGCACTTGTTTGAAGCACTGGATCGATTATTGTTGCAAACGTTTGATTGGATTCGGATAAATATTCTGGCATAACGTCGTCACTACTTCCACTACTAGCACATGTTTGTTCAATGATGTCACCTTTCAGTTTTTTCGCCGGTGCTATCGGCGTTGATGGTGTTAGTGGCGAACGTTTTTTCTCAGTTGTTGCTGTCGTGGATTCGTTTCGTTGATTTTGCTGTTCATCAGCTGCAGATAACTGAGACAGTTTTTGAGATAAATGTTGTTCTTCAGTAGTTAAATCAATCGTAACAATGTCATTTACTTGAATTGGATCGACCTGATGTTGTTGTTGTGTCGGAATAGTTTCGTTTTTCCTATGTTCTTCATTGGAATAAAACTCTGTAAAAAACTGTTCATAATCAATATTTTCCATATTGGTATCATCATTTTTATGAAAATTCGAAAAGAATCGATCATAATCGATATTCTCATCCTCCTTGACATCGATATCATCGCCATGACCATGGAAAACATCATCGAATCGATCAATTTCACCTTCAATCTAAAATACAAAGGTTTTGGCTTCGTGCCAAAAGAAAAATGGGGAATTTTCAATTTACCTTCTTCTTGGGATCAGACATTGATGATCTGTTCAAGAATGAATTAGAAGTGCATAAGAGTTATATTCATCTAGAAAGGAAAAGAATTTAGACAAGAAAAGTAAAAGACTTACAATGATATCATTGATTTGATATTATGCCAAGTAGTTCCGTGTTGTTCGGAGATGAATTCGGATAATAGAATCGATCAGTTTTATATCTAAAAGAACAAGAAGTGATAAATAAATTGTATAAATAATAGGAATAGTAAGTGAAATTGGATATGATGAAATAAAAAAAAAGATGATAAACATGCACACAAATAGACATCAGTCTAATCAAAAGTATTTTCCATGAAATCATCATTATTCGGTCAGATAGCCAGCATTGTACCGAAGAAAATCATCCGAAATTGATGAATGTAACGGTTGCTGCTGTTTATTTCGAAGAGGTAATTCTATCGCTATTGTTGTTGATGGTTCGGTTGTTTTTTGAGGGTGCTGTTGTTGTTGTTGAACACGTTGAACTACTGGTTTAAATAAATATTCCAAAACTTTATCACATGGTGCAAAACCAGCCCGACATATTAGAAAATACATGAGAAAACCAATGAGTAAACAAACAAAAACTAAATCAACCAAATCACGCCAACTAGAAGATGAAGTTCTTTTTTTACCTCACTCATCATTTCTCGTTTGCCATAAGAGTTATAATGAAAACTTTAAACAACATCACATATGATTGAGACAGGTATGCTCAGTATCCTAGAATGCTTGCTAACAAAATTGCTTCTACATCATAGGTTGAACTCGGATTATGCAAAAATGTCGTGCTTTAGGTTGATGACAATATATTCGATGCAAATTGGGAAAATAAAAAACATATGGAAAAAGCAAGCACGTTAGGAACGCGCGTTAATGTTCACTTCATTCCAAAATCGAATACAGAATCAGCATTGGCATTTCTTCGCTCGGAATTTGGACAGCGCATCAAGAACAGCGACACATTTCGCATTGTCACTGATATGAAGCGATTAAATGAGAGTTCGCCTAGCACGGCAGGTGCACCATTAATATATGAAGTATGACAACTCAATTTTTCACAAACATGCCTGATATTCACTGGCCATGAAGAATCAGCATATGAAAAATTAAACAAAGTATTTGGCTCGAAAAAGGTACCTGGAGTTAAGGTTACGGCAGAAAAGAGTGTGCTGGAGAAATTTGTAACATTCAAACGGCTTTGAGACATCATACCAATATGACCGTATTAAAATAGACGCATATAAACCAAAAATAAACTAACGATCCTTCATATATCATTGTCTATTCTAAGGAATAATGACGCGAGAAAACCGAAGTATTTTTGAAACGAAATTAAACTATTAGAAATGTTATTATAAATAATCTTGTCACTGCCATTGAATTCTTGACAGAAGTATCGTAAAAACTCTCTGATATCTTGCAAAAGATTTATCATTTAAAGTGATTGCAAACTATCGAACCGGTTTCGGGTTTAATAGGAACTTTGAAACCCTCATTCATATTTTTCTTTTGTATAGAGAACCGTTGTGTGTATTCAGCAAACATCTTTGATAATAAAGGTGTGAGTATATTCATCCTTCTCATATCTTTACGGCCCTGGAAAATTTTTCTTACGTAACTTATCTTTATTTGGTTTAATATAATATCATACTTTTAACGAATGGTAGTTTTTATCTATTGATAATGATACGCGCACTTTTATTTATATCTATTTTAATTTAAATTCTCGACATATTCGGTACGTTGCATAGTGTATATAAATATCATTGTAAAGGAGTGGATATCTATCATTCAAATGAGTATTCAGGTCGTTCAACGTGTACAAATACCTTCAGGTGCCGCTTCCACTACCTATTATATTCAAAATCGTGCACCACTTCAACCAGTTCCATTTCAAAAACTACCACCAGGTGCAGTGAAGGCTAATGGTTGGTTACTTGGTCAATTAAAATTACAAATCAATGGTTTAAATGGAAAACTTTATGAAATATCGGATTATCTTAATTATGATAATTGTGGTTGGATTGATCCAACAAAAACAGCATGGGAAGAAATGCCGTACTGGTTACGAGGTTTTGCTGAACTTGGTTTTGTTACTGGTGATCCAGACGTCTTAGCAATAACTAAGCGTTGGATGGATGGAGTTCTAAGTACTCAACAACCGGATGGATGGTTTGGTCCAAATTATATGCGTACATCACTTGATGGTGTTCCTGATTTATGGCCTGCAATGTTATTTTCAAATATGTTTCGTTCGTTGTATGAATATACAAATGATGCACGTGTTATTCCATTCCTTTTAAAATGGTTTCAATTTGTAGCAAAAGCTCCAGATGATTCATTTAATCGTGGTTGGGGTGCTACTCGATGGGCAGAAGATCTTGCTAATATTATTTGGTTATATAATCGAACAACTGATTCTGATTGGTTGCTTGATTTAATGAACAGAATTCATAAAATAACAGTTGATTGGGTTTATACGACACCAACATTACATAATGTGAATTTTGCTCAAGGATTTCGTGAACCAGCATTTTATTCATTAGTTGTTAATCCACCTAATCCTGCATTAGTTCAAGTTACTTATGATAGATACCAAGAGCTTGTTTATCAGTTTGGTCAATTTCCAGGTGGAGGTGTTGCTGGCGATGAAGGTTGTCGTTATGGTTATACAGATCCTCGACAAGGTCTTGAAACATGTGGTTTTGCTGAATTTATGCATAGCTTTCAAATGCTTATGCGAGTTACAGGTGATGGTTATTGGATTGATCGATGTGAAACAATAGGATTTAATTCATTTCCAGCAGCATTTGATCCATTTGTTGCACGTGGAACACATTATATAACTTGTGTAAATTCTATTCAACTTGATGATCAAACAAAAAGTGCTTTTGCTGATAATTGGTTTCCTTTACTTGCTTATAAACCAGGTGTTCATCAATATCGTTGTTGTCCACATAATTATGGTATTGGATGGCCATATTATACTGAAGAAGCATGGTTAGCAACGTACGATGGTGGTCTATGTGCTTCATTATATGTTCCATGTCAAGTAACAGCATTTGTTGGTGTTAATACTGAGACGCCAATAACAATTATTGAAGAAACAAATTATCCGTTTGATGAAAATATTCAATTTCATCTTCAGTTATCAACACCGACACAATTTAAACTTTATTTACGTATACCAGATTGGTGTAATAAACCACCAACAGTTACCATCAATGGACGAATTGTATTTAATCAAAAAACACCAGATAACGGTTCATTTATTATTATCAATCGTGTTTGGACAAATGATGATATTGTTAAATTAACATTACCATTAGAATTGACAACAAAAACATGGAAAAATAATAAAAATTCAGTTTCGATTCATTATGGTCCTTTAGCATTTTCATTAGCTATCAATGAGCAATATAATCGTATTGGTGGAACAAATGAATGGCCAGAATATGAAGTTATAGCAAAATCAAATTGGAATTATGGTTTACTTTTATCAAGTAGCAATGAATGGAAAATAAAACGAAAAACAAGAAAAAATAATTCAGAAAATATATTTACTCAAGAAAACATTCCATTAAATATAGAAGCTCGAGCACGTCGTATTCCAGAATGGATAGCAGATCAAGAAAATGTTGTAGGAATATTACCACAATCACCAGTTCAAAGCAAAGAAACAGACGAATCAGTTACATTAATACCGATGGGTGCTGCACGACTTCGTATTACTGCATTTCCTACAATTGCTCAATGATTTCTTTGATGAAAGATCAATATCTATTGACATATTCAAACAATGTTTTTTTTTGTTTCATCATTATTCATGATAATCAAAAATATATTTATTTAAAAAAAGTTTTTTTCACTAAATTTCGAAATTTTTTTGACACAAATAAATTATTATAGAATCCTATACAATATGGAATGTAACAAATAAAACTACCAACAATAAGATAAAACACACGAAGTTGATTAAAACTAATACTTTCTGACGAAGATTTCACAATTTGTTCATAAATCAAAACAATTGATAACATTGAATTAAAAACAAAATAAATAATAATATCATTTAGAAGAATTCGTAGTAATTGACGATCTTTTGATTGTCTAGATAGAACAGCATTCATTTGATAAATATGTGAACTTTTTCGAACATTTCTAATTGACCATAATCCAAATATCATCATTAATGAAGCACATAGTATACCTTTGACTATAGATGAATAATAACTTATAAATACGTAATAATTATCCATTTGAAAATAACAAACATTTATATAAGGACTAATCATTGTAATACTAGAAAATATCCATGTATGACTTGTTGACAATAACCAAAAGATTGTTGTCAAGAAAATAGTTAAATAAGCCAAACGAATAGTACTGCACTGTCTTATATGAACATTCATCGAAGTTATTAATATTCGATCAATTGAAGCTAAGATTAAATAAGATGGACCTAAAACATCTAATAAAAGCAGATTATAAAGACGAAAACGACAAAAATGAATATCATAAGAACTTGGATCAATATTATAACCATAGATTAATGTATTTAGTAATATGACAGTATATATCATAATTAAACTAGCAATATTATATGCAATAAAATAGATTGAACAAGGATCTTTACGTAGATTCTTTTTCATAAAGATAATTAAACTTAATATAGAACTAAGTATACCAAAAATAATAAGAATAGGTCCACCAATTTTATAAAGATTTGTTTGAATTGTTGTTAAATATCTAATAAAATTATATTCTGATGACTTTGTTTTAACAATCTAAATAAAAAAAATCTATATAGTATAAATGAAAAACGAGTGCGATTTTCATCTAATACAAGATAATATTATACTTTATTACGTTTCTTTTTCTCATAGGAATTATTCATTATATGCCAATAATTATATTTTACAACATTCTCTTTGAAAAATATCATACGCACGAATATAACTATAAACTTTGAATGATTATCTTTTATTACTTCATGAACATCTTTTTCTTTCATGGGTTTTATTTCTAAGTACAAAATAGAAATAAGTCGATTAAAAAGACATGAACAGGACATGTAAGTTTTGAGTATCGCACTTTTTTTACGAATCTATATTTAATCAAGTAATTCCATTACGTATTTGTTGAACTTGTAGAAATATTTTATATAATAAATTTCTTCTTCTTTTCTATATGATTATAACGATTTTTTCTGAATATTATGTTTTATTTAAATTTCATGATTATGAAGTCTTTCTTTTTATATTATATACTTGATGTACAGTATTCTTCGATTTTTTTTTCTTTTCATTTTGATTAGTTACAAATAATTGATGATTATCTAAAATATTTGAAAAAAGAATAATAAAGATAATAAATCTTGAATATTAAAAGAAAAAAAAGTATTCTTAAATTATTTTAATTTTTCTCAAAGTTCGAACATATCATCAAATATCTTGTATATTTTATTTTCTTATTAATTCAATTATCAATAATCTTCACGTGCATTACTCGAATTCTAAATATAGAACACAGAAATGCGACAGCAAAACATTTACATGTTTATTGTAAAATATGAGAATTTTTTCTAATTATTCTTTCATATTTGACTGAAACCAGTCAATTCTTAAAGGAACATTATATGGAAAATATGTTCATGGTTGTACTCGGATCCACTGGTACACTAAGTTTCAATTGTTTTCAAACATATACGATCATTAATGAAAAATCAGCTGTTTTTATGGCTATGTGGAAACAAAATACATTCAAACTAAGATTCAATAATGATTTTCAATGCATGAATAAAAAAAGAAAAGATTTCACGTCTATGCATATCTTTGTTTCTCAACTAAAATATAGTGAGTTTTTAGAAACGATTGTTAGTAGTTTTATTTTGAAGTGAATATTTTTTTAATGGACATTTTGAAAATTTTACGATATAAAGATGAAGATAATGTGCTCACATAAAACGATTTAACACTATTAATAAAGAAAATTTGATAACCTAAACGAAATATAAAGGTAATAATGATAAATTGTTCTAAAGATATATTAATCGTATTTTGTAAACTAGTAATCACGAAAGAATAAAGAATTATCCATTGAATTGAGAGAAAATTAGTAATTAAAACTTGTACAACAACTGCACGAATACCATGACGATTTGTTCGAATAGATCTTGTTATATTCTATATAGAAAAAAAGTATTGAAATATTATTCTATATGCAAAAAAAATTAACTTACTACTCGTTGTCGATTACGCTTAATATTTCGAAAAATAAGTGCATAAGTGTAACACCTGAAACTTGAATTCAACTATTAGTTCAAGTATTCAACTATTCAATTATTTCATGACAGTCGGACCGGGGTGAGTGTGGAGGTGGGTGTCAGTAGGCATCTCTCTTAATGAGGGTGTGGGGTGAGTGTTGAGGTTGTTGGTAGTGGTGGGTGGTCTGGGTTTTGGTGGAAGAATAACATGAGAATATTAGGGAGAAGTATTTTGGGACATTTTCCGGGGCAAGCTGAGTTGCTTTTATGTTCAGTGGAAGAACGTGTTTTGATCGAAACGGTAATGTCAGATGTACAGGCGCGATGGGTTTCGGTGCCTTCTTGTTCTATATAGATCAATAGAAAAGAAAGTTTGTTTGTTTGCTGGCTTCGCGTTTAGTTCTTGTAATAGGTATCGTCGTCAAGCGTCCATCGAGAGTTCCTTTAGCACATCGGAAGCTTGACATGTACTTTGTTGCGGATAAAGTGAACGGCACGCTCGTACCCGAAAATTCCCCCTTTTTCCCTTACTGTGCGAACTCTGTAAATGTTGACGGTATGTGGGGGCAGCAAAAGATTGGATTCTAGAATACGCGAATAATTGAACAGTTGAAAAGGTCTAGTATTCAACTGACACTTGAATACATGTACTTGTTATTATATAGAGTATACTACACAATGAAGATTGTGTTGCAATACAAACTGATATTGGGGGTGGAGTAATATCATAGAAAAATAATGCTTGAACACCGATGAATAGACTATAAAGCATTGATAATCCAATCATCCAAGGAACCATTTTGATGTTAAATTATATGAACAAGCAAATCGATCAATTAGAGCAAGGATTATAAAATTAACTGATAATTGAGGAAGAAAAGTGCGTATGAACATAATAAATTTACACATTATAGATGATGTTGTTACATATGGAATTGAATAACCATACATACTAAGATAATTTGGTAAAAGATTAAGAACAAGATCTAATTCATCACTAATTGTACTACATAATAAATAGATTGAACAAGTATTTGTACGAACTTTTGGATGAAGAAATATAAGACAATTACCAAGAAAACCAATAGTACCCAAAATAAGAAAAACTAATGAAAAATGATTTAAAAGTAATTCAATATATGTTGATGCAATAACTAATTGACTTGGTTGTGGCATTACTATTAGTTTTGATTGATTATTAAATGACATGACCTTATGAAGAATAGTCGAATAGAGAAATATTATTTCAAGAATATTTCTACACTCAATTCATAAAATAATCAAAAACATGTTCGAGATAACAAAGTTTGCAATTGCCTTTTTTTCTATAAAATTCGATTATTTGAAATAAGAGAAAAAAAGAAATTATAGAATTACAAAGATGAGTTTAGTATAATAATAAAATGTGAAACATAACGTTGCCCATTGATTACATTACTTATTCTCAAATTTAGAGAAAAAGGAAGAAAAAACATTGGAATTATAGGAGCCGGTATCAACCTATTGCCGTGTGATGAAGTATGTAAAGAAAAAAGAAAAAAAAGAATTACTTTGCTGAAATTATTCATAATTCTGTCGTAGAATAAACTAAACATTTTTATTTATTGAAGCAATTCAATTCTATTATAATTTATAATTATTATATAACGGGTGGTCCAGAATAAATGAGCGCCTGACTATTTTCGCTTTATCTCGGTCAATTTTTGACTTATAGAGTCGTTCTTTGTCTTGAAAGAATCGCCGTCAGATTTCACATAAAGGCTTTATTTCCTAATCTCTCAAATATTCTCCATTATTTTCTGACAACCGATACAAGCGATTCGTCCAACTAGCGCAACTTTCCCGAACAACATCCGNCGTTGAGAGAGAATTGAACGGCGCGTCTTTCAAAAAAAAAATTGGTTCAATCAGATGAAGCACGAGGAAGATGTCACCGAAATACTTAGGCGCTCATTTATCCTGGACCACCCGTTACATAATAATATGAAATAAATAAACGAGATAAAGCAAATAATTCTAAGAAAAATAAATCAATAAAGAGTTCATTTTTCTTTTTTAATCATTAATTGTTATTAATAATAATATTATATAAAAAATAGAAAAATAAACAATCAATCGATATAAAAATGAAAATAATTACAATTCCATTGATTTTAACATACACAATGTTAAAGAAAACTAGATTTTTCGTCCATTCTTCTAGAATAATCATTAACAAATTGATGTGGAGAAATGTTTTTGTTGAATTCAATAAACATAAGATTAAATGACGATCGATTAAATTTTGTTTCTATTCATCGACAGTTAAATATATAAGTAAATAATCATTAAAATTTTCTTTAACAAACTCCAATAAATTACACAAAACAAAAATCCTTATAGAATCTTTTCGGAGATATCTTTGTAAATATAACAATGTATAAAATGATCGACATAATAATTGAATATTATTATCTCTTATCATTCTTGATTCTTTATTTGACTTTCTATAGAATAATATATTATATTAGTTTTTCTAAGAAAAATATTTAATAACGACTAAAATAAATGATGATCATTGACAAGCAAGTTGATCATAACACATATTTTCAGGAATATTCTATTTTCCTAAGAATGATCATTACGATTATTATGATATAGAAAAAGAAAAAATATGATTTCGAACGTCAAATTGTTAAATATTAAAAACACAAGCAATATATTTTAAATAAAACGCTGAAAGATTATAAATACTATTCAGATAAACATAATTTTGATTCTGTTGACATGTAATTCTATTTGATTGTACAAAAATTCTTCTCTTGCATAAAAAAATTGATTACATGTTCCAACATCACATGAATAACTTTTACATGTAATGGACAAGTCAATTTATTATATGTGTCTTTTTTATTATTACTATCAAAATAATCGTTTTCATTAGTCAAATGTAAAAATTTTTGAAATACAAAATCTATTTCGATATCAATATTCATCTCTATCGTTAATAAAACCATTTTTTCGATCAGAAATTTTACGATGATCTAAACAAAGAAAATTACTTTGACTAAATCGTTTACAATCAAATAATCTAGTATAACATGTAACACTTGTCCATCGACAACTAACAAGGGAAGGTTTCCAGGTGTTTCCCGAGGATTTCAATAAAAATGATGTGGGTTTGTTAAGTCAAGTATACCTCTGTCAGGTATGAAACAATTAGCGGCTACCCCTGCTGTAACAAAAAGTTATAGCCAAAACATTTTCCCAGAAACCAGCACATGTACTACGCTATACAGGTTTTTCTTTGAAGAATTTTTCAAAATTCTAGTAGGTTTTTTGCTAGGTATTATATACTTCGTTCGGTTTGCATGTTCTGTATAACATATGTTAATAGAACAGTTAATGAATGTGAATATATCAAGGGGGAACAAGCGGACTTCTATACTTCCGAAGTACAAAAGTCCCATGAAGTCCCGTGAAGTCCCATGAAGTCTCGTGAAGTCATGAGAAGTACGGACGAATTGTTGATATATATATTAATTTGGTTACAGATTTCCGTATATTTATTTATGAAGAAAATGGAAATAATGAAACAAATTAAAGACGACCGTTATCATCTTTACGGCTTGACTGAATGTCTCGAGAAAGTCGATCATTTGATAGACGCATATTACTATCCGTTAGTAACCAACACGCCGATTGTTTATGAACGTATTTGTAACTATCATTTATCTTCATTTTAAAATAAGAATCTCTTCGAGAAAGTTCAATTTCATCGAAAATTTTCATATTATTAAAATTCGTTTTTATAGTCTTCATATTATATTCATTGTTATCTTCGTGGTCAGCAATGTTGTCATCATTTATTTGTTCATAATCATTAAGTTGATTGACNCTTTAACTAATAAAATTATATAAAGCAGATTATGAGCATTAAGTTCAGCAGATAAATATGCTGTTTTTGTTATGAAAAATTTTGCTCTGCTGTTTCTTTTCGTTGTTGCAGACGCGGTCGTCAATGTGAACTGTTTGTGTTGAATCCAAGTCCACCACATGCGACATACAAAGACGGAACACCAAGCAGACTGTAGATCTAGCAAGGACACAAATGAAGAGAACAAGAGATATCTTAGTTTTCTATTCTATCCCAAAAATGAATCCACTTACGTTCGTTGATTTTTGTTGTTTTTTCAACATAAGCTGATATCGACTTTTTTAGTAAATATAAATACACAAATGTTCCATAAGTATCATCACCAGCTGCCAATATAGACAACATATCATCTGAAGTAATCTTGACACATGAGCTAAAATTCTGGCGATCTTTTGGACTTAAATCACTTCGAGTCAATCCATGATCTAGTTTGCAATAACTTGAATTCTCGATGATATCGATTAAATGTTCAATTGAGATATATTGCTGACCAAAACGAAGTTGAGCTGTAGAAGATAATAATCGATTTCTCCATTTAGTCACTAAATGGATAGGATCTTGAAAGAACAGTAGCAACTGTTTAGGTTTTAGATACAAACAAGACCATTTTACTGATATTGTCAAATCAAATAATGTTTTGACGCTGGTGTAGTTTAAAATAAGGTAATGATGCAAAGAATTCACTCGCTAGTCGCATAGCGCGAAGATACTTAGCATCTCCGTCTAAACGAACCAAATGACGAATGAATTAGAGTATGTTGTGATACTTTTAACAAGTAAAAAGCAAGCATGATCTTACCGGTAGAGAACCCTATTAATTGAATATAAACAACCATCGTCTTAAAATATCCATTGATGTATACGTGTTAATAACACCATAACCAGACAATAAAAATGCGGATGGAATAGTTGAATTATTTGGTGATGGTAAAGGCTGAATCATAAGAATGTTCAACAAAGATGATTTTTCTGTTGAGCTGAACCATGATTCTAATTTATCGAAGGAATTTGTTGGATAATATTTGTAAATTGGTATACCATTAACTAGTGGCGTGATGAATCCCACGAATGAATTTGTTGTTTGATCATAATTTATTCTTCGGATAACACCTGTACAATCTTCTGCACCGAAAGCGTAATTGACTTTAATTTGATTAAGATATTCTTGCAATTTATCAAAATGAAACTGTGCCTCATTTATTTTAAGATCATCGTTCGATAATAGTTTATTCAACGTTTGTACACTGGGTAAAGCAGGAGATAAATTCAATCTAACAAATTGATATGTCATCTTGCCACCTAGTGTATATGACGACAGAGCAAATTGTTCAATAGATTTCGAATAACGATAATTATTTGGCGATTTGTTCAAGTTACTAATAATACAATCAATGAATGTTGCCAAGAATGACTGTTCCTTGATATTCACTACATTAGTGTATTCATACCAATGAAATAATGATTTTAATAAAGGATTATTATTAATGATGGTGCTATATCTTTGTTCTTGTTGTTGATTGAAATCAGGCTTTTCTGGTTCTTTTCTCTCTCATTTGGTGCATTTGCCAACAATGATAAGACTGTTTTAATTCCATTCTTAAGAACATAGTCACTAGTTTCTGTTCTGAAATATATCTTATCTCGTAAAGAATTTATTTCGGGTGAATTGTATTTAAGTATTTCGAAGAGATTTTGAGTATTTATGTACATTTCAACAGAATCCATTAGCTGAATCTTCAATATTTCACATAACATTTCACCACCAAATTGTTTTACCCATTTAAAAAATTCATCGCCCTTTAAAGCAAGAAGATTGTGTGGTATAACATCATCACGATTATCCATTTATGGAACCTGTAATTAAAATGAAAATTTATTTTTCGAACTGTTCTAATTAGTTGACATTTCAAAAGGCAATACATAAGTGAGAGAAAGTATGTTAAACAAGTTTATATAAAACGTATCACGCAATAATATCTTCCTGATATAGGACTAAGAGAGAGCCACACTGGAGATCTGAAAATCTAGATACTCTGTTTGACGAAAGACCGAATAATCAACGCTGACTCATTTTTATGATATTTCTGATCATATTAGTAGATTTAAAATAAAGATGTCACTCTGCTCAGGCAAGAAAAATGTAATACATAACAGGAGAAAAGTTTGACTTACAAATGGTCAATTTTTCGTCGGTTCTTCTTTATTTCTTCTAAAAGATCAGGAGCTAATTGTTTTCTTAATTCATTGAAATAGATGGTGTTTTGGTATAGGTCAGTTATATCAGAAAAATCTGAACTATGTCTTCACAAAATATCTTCCATGACACTAGAAGTTTACCAACAAATGTATTAACACTGGTTGATGATCAGTTTTACGAGTTTGTCGAACAACGTCTTGGAATGTACCAATCGCTGTTATTAAAAATGCAAGAAATTAATTCTGTACAATGTTTTCTATTAACGAATGATCCGTGCGAAATCCTGAACCTTAATATTAGTGATAAAGATATGTTTTCCACTGGAAGATGGTTCATTCATTGTCAAGCCCGGAGTCAAAAATAGTTTTACTTGTCTACGAAATCTATTGTCAAAAAAAATCGATGAAAAATTGAAACCAACAAGAACCTCAAAATCTCCATCAACAACAGCTATTTCAACAGATAGTGTGACATTAGCATCACCATCTTCAATATCATTGACGACAACATCACTACTACAAACAATAAATCCACCATCACCTGCTGTACCAGTAATATCAATTGCTGAACATCGGAGTTATTTCTTGAATTTATTAAAACTTTGGTGTTCTAATCACAAAGATGAATTTATGTCTGATTCATTCGATTTAAAAGAAGGTGAAGATTTCATTTTAAATGTATTAAACGATCAAAACAATAATCTTATAGTTAGTGTTAAATGTAATTGTGGTCGATCAATATCGTTAAATATGAAAGATGGAAAAATACAGCTTTCTAATTATCAAAAACATTTGCGTTCAACAAACTGCAGCCATGTGAAAACTATGAAGAAGATGAATAGTGAACAAAATAGAATCAATATTCAACAATCAGCAAATGTTTCATCACCATCAACATCCATTGGACCAATGCCACCAGGATCAAATCAAGCTGAATCTGCTCAACAAGCTTTTTCATCTGATTCATCCGCTGTATCACCGGTTTTGGTTACTCCTTCTGTAGAAACGAAAGGAGCAGCATTATCCGAAAAAAATTCTCTGAAACGTGTTCGTTCATCTCAGTCATCTTTGTCTAAAAAGACTAAAAGGAGTCGTGCCTGAAATCGTATCGTATACTTCTTGGATTTTGTTTTATTCTTGTTCACATATCTTTTTATTATTATTTTTGTTGAAACAAATTCAAGTACATACATGTACTCAAGTTTTTAAAGTTTATTTTGTGTGTGTTTCTTTTTTAACCATCGTACTATGCATTGTAAACCTGTTGAGCAGATGATTCGCAAGAAATCATTCAAATAATTCTTCCAAGAAGTTGAATATATTTTGACCTCTTTTAGCTTGTAATTTACTCGTTTTTATTTGATTTGCTGCTCCTTTTTTGTTCTGCAACGTTCCAGATATTTCTGTCTTTTCAAACATGCGTTTTATAGCTATACTCAAATAAATATCATATATCGAAAATTCATCCACCGTAGAAGTACATTGAAGTACAGAGAAGCACATAGAAGTATATAGAAGTACAGCGAAGTACAGAAGTCCGCTTGTTCCCCCTTGACTATACGCCACAGAACAAAAAAGTAATTTGATTCATTATACAGCTAGACGTGAGATTCGACTCGTACTCTAATTGTAGAACAAAGAAGTACGGTGCAAAATCGATAGGACAGAAAGAAATGGTCAGATGGTGCATTTACTAAAAGTTTATTGTACGTGCAAACGAGCGTCTCAATCAATTTTAGTATGACAACCGAATCGCCTCGAATGTGCTAATAATAAAATGAATAAATCATATAGTTTTGAAATAATTAACTGAATCTTTTCCCAAAACATTCCGAATCTAAAACAACCTTCAAAAAAAAGATTAGAATAAAAAAACGACTTTTATTCTACTCAACTATTCTTATTGGTCTATTTCATTAACCTATCATAATTTAAATACACATATTAGTTATAAATTTTATAAAATCAAGGGTGAGGATGATGATATTATTATTCTGCTCATTTATCTCTACTGACGTCTTTCTAAGGAATTTCTTTGATCATTTTCTATTATTTGTTATGAATTTATTTTATTATTAATAAAGAAAATCATTTATTTTGTATTCATTATGATTGAAATCGAATGATTTTAGCACAAAATTGGATAACTGGCCATCGTTGCAACACCACATTGATTATTTTTATTTCGTACTACTTTTATGTAGCCTTCCAAACCCCACTCAGTACCCCAACTAAAAGATAAAAATATACATAAGAATAGAATTTATTGAAAATTAATGATAATTACCTATTTTTTAAAAGCCAATAGTCTTTACCCGATTCATTTCCATAACCAACAATAAAAATACCATGATTGGGATATTTTGGTTGACATCGTGGATCATCATAAACTACGTCAAAACTATATGATAAAGCAAAAAAAAACATAAGAAAACTGCATACCACCACTTTTATACATTTGAAATGAAGTATCACCAGAATCAACAGCAGTTGCTATTGGTCCAATTAAAGCTACTGCTTGTTGAAGTGCTGTTTCATTTCCTGATGGAAGTTCAACAAATCCACAAACTTTAACAATAACATCTGATGAATTAAAGGTACATTTATCGTCGCGTCCTGTATATGGATAAGTTTTATCAGATTGAATACCACCAGCGTCTTTGATATATTGAAATGATTGAGTCATATATCCTCCATTACAACCCTCATTTCCATATTTCCCAGAACAATCAACTAATTGTTGTTCTGATAGTGAAACAAGTTTGCCTGTTTTGATTTCATGTGCACCTTCAATGGCACCAACTGCTGAAAATGCCCATGATGATCCACATTGACCTTGATTTTTAACTGGAACTACAGCACCTTTATCACGCCAATCTATTAGAGAATTAGAAACAAACAATTAGAAACCATAATAATTCATTATTCATACCAACAGTATCTGGTAATTCAATATTTGAATTTCCTATGAATGGTTGAGCATCTTTTTGAATATCTTTTTTCTGAACATCGTTTAATAATTTTACAAATTCTTCATTAGTCTAAAGAATTCGAAATGAAATTATGCTAGATAAATAAAGAATAAAATCAAACCAAATCTGCAAATTTATTCATTCCAAGTCGATATGAATGAAGACCAAGATCAGCTCGTTGATTATGCTCTTCTACTAATTTTAAATTCTTTCCCCAAATTGTACGTCTAAAATTTTCGAATTTGTCGTGACATTAAAATGAAAAACAAAGTTTCATGCCGAAGACGTTCTTCAACATTGGTATAACTTTTATTATATTGATTTTTCCATAACTTCCATTGCCCATTGATTGTTATATCACGAGCCCATGTGCTCGTTAAAACAAAAGTAATAAGTACAAGAATCGATATCGATCGCATCTAAAGAATTCATTTAATGTATGTTAATTTTATTTTTCGAGTACTCACCGTTGTTAAAAATTAAAAAATGACTTGAATTTGAAAATATGCATACTATCTCGTATCACTCATTAGTAAGCGTTTTTTGTTATCTAAACGCATTGTCATTTGTTATTATGATGTTTTATCTTCTTCTGTTTTTGCTTTATCATTTACATAGTGCTGATAGAACTGAATGAGGATGAGAATGCACTGACATATAATTGTAATTCGCTTATCTACATGTTTGATTATAAAAGGATCGAAAATGAGTGTCTACCGGTCATATATAATATTCGACACTCCCCATGTCAAAGCTGTACGACAAGAACCGGCGGGATCAATGACTTTCCAATGATTTCCTGAAATAGGAATCTGACTTCGTATCCGGCCATCCGCTTCCAATACTCTTTCAATTGATTTCTGGGCACGGATCATATTGTCGGGTACGGTCGTAGGATCCGATCCGGTTACGAGCATATGAACCGCTACTTTCCCGTATTTTCAGATTCTAAATCGTTTAATACGGTTTTTCCACTAATCAGTATTTAAATGCACACAAATTTTACAACTTTATGATACGTAATCAATAGAGAGGTGATAGAAGCCTACCATTGATTGAGATGAAAATATTTGTTTGCATCTAATTACTCGGCAGATTGATACAACTGTTCTGAATTTTTTACTTTGTAAGTGATTCTTTACTTAAGATTCAATGATTTCCAATAGAAATTATGCGAATTTTTTAAAAAATACTGTTGAAAAATATTTCAAACCCACTTCTCAGTTGTAAAAATACAGTATCGTATGAGAGAAAATGTTCGATTTTGGTTATACTGTGAATCGGTTAGTATGTACACCCTTTCAAAATCTTACATGTACACATGTATTTTAAATCACCTGCACAAATACCCATCTACGTTGGTAACGTAGAATAAAGTAGTAATCAAATAATTAACTATCATAGTGCTATAGGTGATTCATCGTGTTTATTATCGATGTTTTTTTTTATTAATTCCGAGTTCCCATGAGGTGTTTGGTGGAGTAGATACGTGGGGTGCATAAATGCAATATTAAGTTTAACTTAACCGCAACTATTGTGCAAAGATTACGTTATTAGATCCAATACCATCCTGCATACCGGTATTATCTATCTACAATGAGTATCAAGTTGCAATGTCACAACTTACTGACGTATATCTTTTCAATCATTCTTCTAATTGTCATCCACCCGCCAACGAAAAATAGGCGTGAAAATCGGATTTCACACGCGAAACCTAATGAAAAATCAACTTTTTAATCGATTAAACCCTGTTATAAAACTGATAAAAAAATTAATTCGTTTAAAGATATTGTTTAATTTTCAACAGTACCTGTCTTCCATCAAAAATAATCAGTTCAAGTAGACATTACAACAGGATTCAGCCGATTTCAGTTAATTATTTTTACCTTAATCGATTTCCAAGCTGTCTAGATCAAGTAC